TACAAAGGCTTCCAGTTTATCATTCTTTATAGTTGAGTAATACTCCATTGTATAAAAATATCACATCTTTTTTATGCATTCCTCAGGTGATGGGCATCTTGGTTGTTTCCAATATTTGAATATCACAAATTGTGCTGCAATAAACATAGGCACACATATATCACTATGATATGATATTTTCCAACCATCAGTGAAGATTCCTAGTAGAGGAATAGCTGGATTAAATGGGATTTCCAGTCCGAGTTTCTAAGGATTCTCCACTCTGATTTCCATAATGGTTGCATCAGTCTACATTCCAAAAAGGAGTGGACAAGGGTTCCTTTTCCCCCACAGAAAAGGGGAAACAACATTCATTGTTGGTTGCTTTCTTTATGACAGCCATTCTTTCTGGGGTGAGATCATAGCTCAATGTTGTTTTAATTTGCATTTCATGGATTGCTAGTAATGTGGAGCATTTTTTCGTATATTTATTTGCCTCTTTAATTTCATCCACTGAAAAGTGTGCGTCCATCTCGAAAGCCCATTTCTATACTGGGTCTTTAAATTTTGGGGCCATAGTATTTTTCAGTTCTTTATAGATTCTAGAGAGCAGACTTTAGTCTGAGTACTTATTTGTCATGATTTTTTCCACATTTGTGGGTTGTATTTTCACTTTATTGGTAATTTCTTTTGAGGTGTAAAAACTTCTCAATAAGAGCAGGTTCAAGTTGTTAATTCTTTTAAGTGTTTCCCATGCCATTACCTTTTTGTTCATAAAAACTGCATACCCCTATATCTTCAAGATTTCCATCTACTTTCTCTTAAAAGAGATTTAGTGTTGATGTTTTAATGTTTAGATCTTTAATCCATTTTGACTTCAGCTTAGTGTATGGTGATAGACTTGGGTCAAGTTTTAATTTTCAGCATGTAGAGAGCCAGTTCTTTCTGCACCATCGGTTAAAGAGGCTGTCTTTCTTCCAGTGAGTATGTTTAGCCCCTTTGTCAAGGATAAGGTGTCTGAGTGTGTTAGTTGGAGTTTCAGCATCTTCTAATCTATTCCATTGATTCTCAGATCAGTTTTGTTGCCAGTACCATGCTGATTTTATCACAGTAGCCATGTAGTATAATTTCAAGTCAGGAATTGTAATGCCTCCTGCCTTGTCTTTTTGCCCAGAATTGCCTTTGCTATTCTAGGTCTTATCTGGTTCCAGATAAATTTTAGGAATGATTTCTCTAGGTCTGTGAGGTATGTTAGTGGTAGTTTGATAGGGACTGCATTAATTCTGTACAGCAATTTTGGAAGTATGAACATCTTTGCCATGTTAGTTCTTGCTATTCAGGAGCATGGAATACCTTTCCATTTTCTGAAATCCTCTACAACCTCTTTTTTTAAGAGTACTGTAATTTTCCTTGAAGACTTTGAATTCTTTAGTTAGATGAATTCCAAGGTATTTCATTTTCCTAGGTGCTCTTGTAAAACGTATTGTTTCTATAATTTCCCTCTCAGTATGTTTGTATACTGCTATGCTCCTGAATTCCGGCATTAATTCTAGTAGCTTCTTAGTGGAGTTTTTTTGGTCTTCAAAGTAAAGTATCATGATAATGATAATTTAATTTCTTCTTTACCTATTCTTATTCCTTTTATTTCTTTCTCTTGTCTAATGGCTCTAGCTAATGATTCCAGAACTATATTGCATAAGAGTGGTGATAGAGGTTATGTTTGTCTTCTATCAGATCTAAGAGTAACAGATTTCAGTTTTTCCCCATTTAGAATTATGTTAGCCATTGGGTTTTCATAAATGGCTTTTACCAGATTGAAGTAGAGGCCATCTGTTCCAATTTTC